ATAAGGTCAGCTTAATGAATCCAGTTTTATGAGGCCAGCTTTATGAGGCAGTTCTGTGAGGTCAGTTTTATGAGGTCAGCTTTTGGAGGTCAGCTTTATGAGGTTGGCATTATGAGGTCAGCATTTTAAGGTCAGCATTATGATGTCAGCATTATGAGGTCAGATTTAAGAGTTCAGCTTTATGAGGTCAGCTTTATGAGGTCAGCTTTATGAGGTCTGCTTTATGAAGTCTTCTTTATAAGGTCAGCTTTATGAGGTCAGCTTTAGGAGTTCATCTTTTTGAAGTCAGCTTTATGAGGTCAGCTTTATGAGATCAGCTTTAGGAGGTCAGCTTTAGGAGGTCATATTTATGAGGTCAGCTTTAGGAGGTCAGCTTTATGAGGTCAGCTTCATGAGGTCAGCATTAGGAGTTCAGCTTTATAAAGTCAGCTTAATGAAGCCAGCTTCATGAGGCCAGCTATATGAGGCCAGTTTTATGAGGTCAGCTTTATGAGCACAGCTATATGAGGTCAGCATTTGGAGTTCAGCTTTATAAGGTCAGCTTTATTAGGTCAGCATTATCAGGTCAGGGTTATGAGGTCAGCATTGTGAGGCCAGCTTTATGAGGCCAGCTTTATGAGGCCAGTTATATGAGGTCTGTTTTATGAGGTATGTTTTATGAAGTCTGCTTTATGAGGTCAGCTTTAGGAGGTCAGCTTTAGGAGGTCATATTGATGAGGTCAGCTTTTAGAGGTCAGCTTTATGAGGTCAGCTTCATGAGGTCAGCATTATGAGGTTAGCTTTGTGAGGTCAGCTTTATAAGATCAGGATCATGAGGTCAGCATTGTTAGGTCAGCATTACGAGTTCAGCCTTATGAAGTCAGCGTTATGAGGTCAGCTTTATGACGTCAGCTTTATGAGGTCAGCTTGCTTGCAGATAAGTGTAAAAGCAGAGCTTTGACATTAATAATATGCTTACGGTACGGTACTGCCGTTGTAATTTTATTGCATGTGATACGAGCCATTACAAATGTATTACTGAATCTAGTGAAGACATACTGTGCATTCAGAAAGTATTCAGACCCCTTGAATTTTTCCACATTTTGTTACATTACAGACTTATTCTAAAATGGATTTAATAGTTTTTTCCCCTCATCAATCTTCTCACAATGCCCCATAATGAATTTTCTGCTAATTTTATAAAAAACAACAACTGAAATAACATTTACTTAATTATTCAGACCCTTTACTCAGTACATTGTTGAAGCACCTTTGGCAGCGATTACAGCCTTGAGTCTTCTTGGGTATGACGCTACAAGCTTGGCACACTTGTATTTGGGGAGTTTCTCCCATTCTTCTCTGCAGACCCTCTCAAGCTCTGTCAGGTTGGATGGGGATCGTCGCTGCACAGCTATATTCAGGTCTCTCCAGAGATGTTCGATCTGGTTCAAGTACGGGCTCTGGCTGGGCCACTCAAGGACATTCAGGGACTTGTCCCGAAGCCACTCCAGCGTTGTCTTGGCTGTGTGCTTAGGTTTGTTGTCCTGTTGGAAGGTGAACCTTCGGCCCAGTCTGAGGTCCTGAGCGCTCTGGAGCAGGTTTTCATCAAGGATCTCTCTGTACTTTGCTACTTTCATTTTTCCCTCAATCCTGACTAGTCTCCCAGTCCCTGCCGCCGAAAAACATCGCCACAGCATGATGCTGCCACCACCATGCTTCACCGTAGGGATGGTGCCAGGTTTCCTCCAGAATTGACGCTTTTCATTCAGGCAAAGAGCTCAATCTTTGTTTAATCAGACCAGAGAATCTTGTTTCTCATGGTCTGAGAGTCTTTAGGTGTCTTTTGGCAAACTCCAAGCAGGCTGACATGTGCCTTTTACTGAGGAGTGGCTTCTGTCTGGTAACTCTGCCATACAGGCCTGATTGGTGGAGTGCTGTAGAGATGGTGTCCTTCTGGAAGGCTCTCCCATCTCCACAGAGGAACCTTGGAGCTCTGTCAGAATGACCATCGGGTTGGTCACTTCCCTGACCAAGGCCCTTCTCCCCGATTGCTCTGTTTGGCCGGGCGGCCAGCTGTAGAAAGTGTCTTGAGGTTCCAAACTTCCATTTAAGAATGATGGAGGCCAGAGTGTTCTTGGGGAACTTCAATGCTGCATAAATTTTTTTATACCCTTCCCCAAATCTGTACCTCGACACAATCATGTCTCGGAGCTGTACGGACAATTCCTTCGACCTCATGGCTTGGTTTTTGCTCTGATATGCACTGTCAACTGTGGGACCTTATATAGACAGGTGTGTGCCTTTCCAAATCATGTCCAATCAATTGAAATGACCACAGTTGGACTCCAATCAAGTTGTAGAAACATCTCAAGGATGATCAATGGAAACAGGATGAACCTGAGCTCAATTTCGAGTATCATAGTAAAGGGTCTGAAGACTTATGTAAATAAGGTATTTCAGTTTTTTATTTTTTAATACATTTGTAAAATATTCTAAAAATCCTGATTTCGCTTCGTCATTATGGGGTACTGTATGAAGATTGATGAGGAAAACATTTCATTTAATCCAGTTTAGAATAAGGCTGGGTCTGAATACTTTCCGAATGCGCTGTACACCTAATATCAATAAGGGATCATAGCTTTCACCTGGATTCACCTGGTCAGTCTGTGTCATGGAAAGAGCATAGGTTCATAGTGTTTGGTAAACTTAGTGTATGTCAGCAGCCAGAATCCTGATACCTTGTGTCTCCATTTCGTTTTTGCTCCATTTCTTCTCAAATTCTGTGCTTTGATATATGTGATTTTGATCATGAAACAGTGGGTCATTCTGTCGGATGAAACAAATCCCCCCCCCCCCCCCCCCCCCACCAACAGTCATTTTAGTATCTTTAAAGTGCTACATCATCAGCTTCTCTCCCGGACTGCTTGCAATACAATAGGTGCTGGCACCTTGTGATCAGTAAGAACGCCTGTACACTGATTCTTAAGTTCTCAACACACACCGGTTCCAAGCCCACTGCCCTCGAATTTCTACCCATCATGCTCTCTAACCCCACTCCCTCGGCTTCTCTAAGCCCCCACTCCCTCGTCTAGCCCCCTCTCGCTCTCTAAGCCCCCACTCCTGGCTCTCTACCCCTCCTCGGCTTCTCTAAGCCCCCACTCCCCGGCTTCTCTAAGCCCCCACTCCCTCGGCTTCTCTAAGCCCCCACTCCCTCGGCTTCTCTAAGCCCCCACTCCCCTCGGCTTCTCTAAGCCCCCACTCCCTCGGCTTCTCTAAGCCCCCACTCCCTCGGCTTCTCTAAGCCCCCACTTAACCCAGCTTCTCTAAAGCCCCCACTCCCCCGGCTTCTCTAAGCCCCCACTTAACCCAGCTTCTCTTGCATGGCTTTGAACATGTAAAATATCTGTGATATAGAGATCTGTGATACAGAGATATGTGAAATAGAGATATGTGAAATAGAGATCTGTGAAATAGAGATCTGTGAAATAAAAGTCCAATCTGCGACCTTTGACCTCCTTCTATGCGCTGAACTCTCATGACTTCTAAAATAAAAGGCTCCTCAATAGTTTTCTCAGCTGTTCTGTGTTTCTGGTTGTCCGATAAGCCAGTCTGCCCGGGCTCATTCTTGACTCCCTGGCTCGCTGACCTCTCTGCTCTCGGCATAATTGCATCGGAGTTTGATGGACTGGTGTCTCCGAAGCATCATATGCGTAGATACCAGCTATGAGTCTATCTCCTGTCCGCTGTCGACCTCCCCGTCCTCTATAATGAGTAAACGCTGGCGGCGAAGGAAGCCGCCATCAGCTAAGGAATTATAGGCTGTTGCAAACTCCCCCCCCCCCCGAAACTCCTTGTTTTAATTTCTACTGGGGGATGGAACCTCCTGCTTTCCATCATGCACCTTTCAGCAGCCCTTCTTGAGCATACTCACATGGCACAGTTATAGGCCGATCTCTCTACTTAATACAGATGTCAAAATCGCTTCTCCGGTCCTACTTGTTGTGATCAAAAACACCCGGGACTCTGTGATTTGTCCCCTTTATAAGTTGTGCATCCTACAATATACATAGTTAGCATTGGCTCGAGAAACTAGCTACCTCTAACTTCCTTCATACTGGACACAGAGACATACAAATTGTATCCTCTAGTTCATCTGACTCTGGGGGAAGTAGATAAAGGGGCTTCATTGCCATAATCCTGAAGTATCACTTTAAACTTTTTGTTCACATCAGTCAACAATAAAAAAAACTATGACAACATTTTCTACTGCCTTTGTACAGTTTCACGGATTCCTCAATAAATCTTAATGTGGCCAGACTTTCTAATTTCCCTGGGGTCTCCATTTCACATGATTGATACACATGTGTAATCACAATTATAACTGGTGTTTACATTGTACAAATGTAAAACTCTAAAAGCCCACTTGTATGTACACTCGGTGGTCCAGTGTCGTTGAACAAGGTTGGCTGTAGACTCTAATGACAGTTTTGCCGAAACACCACCCATACCTCCGCCTACAATTTCCTACATCTCCCTCTTTATTTTAAGTGCCAAAGAGTGAGGGACCTCTCACTAAGAAAGCCATGGTTGCCCTCTCAATGAAGCAAGCAAACTGAGGAACTTGCTCAGTGTTCCTCAGAGAATATGCTTTGTGAACTAAGTCAGCCAATTAGCTGCAAGTCTGGAGATGTCGGGCTGTGCTTTACACTCTCCGTCAGAACTGTATAGCTGAGGTGAGCTTTCCTCCCCAGGTGAGCTTTCCTCCCCAGCTGTGCAGCGCCAGACTAGCCTACATCTGGCAGCCATGACAGGTAAAGAACAATAAAGTGGTATTCCACCATCAGCACTAATGGGAATAAATGGCTGAGCCCCTCGACAGCTAACCACATCCTGATGAGCTGCTCAAAAAGAATACCTGTCTATGCTGGAGACTAAACGATCCTTTCAGCAGAACAAAAATAAATTGTCAAAAGTGAAATGTTTATCTTTTAAAAATAACTTTCTTTGCAGAGTTTGCAGAAATGGGAAAAAAGGAAAAGCATTTCTTACAATGGGGAGAATCAGACCTGCTGCCTTCAGACCTGAGACTGTATAGACTGCTGCCTTCAGACCTGAGACTGTATAGACTGCTGCCTTCAGACCTGAGACTGCTGCCTTCAGACCTGAGACTGTATAGACTGCTGCCTTCAGACCTGAGACTGTATAGACTGCTGCCTTCAGACCTGAGACTGTATAGACTGCTGCCTTCAGACCTGAGACTGTATAGACTGCTGCCTTCAGACCTGAGACTGATAGACTGCTGCCTTCGACTGAGCCTGTATAGACTGCTGCCTTCAAGACCTGAGACTGTATAGACTGCTGCCTTCAGACCTGAGACTGTATGACTCTGCCTCAGACCCTGAGACTGTAATAGGACTGCTGCCTTCAGACCTTAGGACTGTATAGACTGCTGCCTCAGACCTGAGACTGTATAGAACCTGCTGCCTCTTCAGACCTGAGACTGTAAGCTGCTGCCTTCAGGACCTGGACTGCTGCCTTCAGACCTGAGACTGTATAGACGGCTGCCTTCAGACCCTAGACTGTATAGACTGCTGCCTTCAGACCTGAGGCTGTATATAGACTGCTGCCTTCAGACCTGAGGACTGCTTGCCCATTCAGACCTGAGACTGTATAGACTGCTGCCTTCACGACCTGAGACTGCTTGCCTTCAGACCTGAGACTGTATGAACTGCTGCCTTCAAGACCTGAGGAATTGTATAGGACTGCTGCCTTCAGACCTGAGACTGTATAGACACGGCCCTTCAGACCTGAAGACTGTATAGACTGCTGCCTTCAGACCTGAGACTGTATAGACTTTTGCATTCAGATCTGAGACTGCTGCCTTCAAACCTGAGACTGTATAGACTGCTGCCTTCAGACCTAGGACTGTATAGACTGCTGCCTTCAGACCTAGGACTGTATAGACTGCTGCCTAGCATATAATTGTAATGTGAACACTGAGACTGTATAGACTGCTGCCTTCAGACCTTAGACTGTATAGACTGCTGCCTTCAGACCTTAGACTGTATAGACTGCTGCCTTCAGACCTGAGACTGTATAGACTGCTGCCTTCAGACCTGAGACTGTATAGACTGCTGCCTTCAGACCTGAGACTGTATAGACTGCTGCCTTCAGACCTGAGACTGTATAGACTGCTGCCTAGCATATAATTGTAATGTGAACCCTGAGACTGTATAAAAAAATTGTGAGCATGCCAATCGGAAGAAATAGAATTAGTGCAAGTTGCAATGCTAATCAGTTGCACATGGGGGAGCAAATCAGCCACTGAGTGTTTGAAAAACGTAGTCGAAAAGGTGATGACATTTGAAACATCTTGCAGCGTTTTGCGGTATGGGAAACTTACTGCAAACAATTCTGCCCGAGAACCAATCTGAGAGTTTCATTCCACAGCATTCAACAGAAGAACAAAGACTAGAAAGTGGTTGATGCTTAATAAGTGATTCATGAGGTTCAGATGACATCCACTCAATTTACTCTTCCTCATTTATCTTGCTTTCACCTCTAATTTACTCAGAGCTTTCATTTCTATCTGTGTTTCTTTCATACTGGGTGTTTCTCAAAATGCATACCATTACATACGTGCTCTGAGTACGCAAATTAGAGCACGGGTGGGTCAGAGTATGAGTCCAAATCAAAGTATGCAAAACGTAGCACGGAGGGCACTTCTCGAATGCGTACTCCGTTTGTACATATTTTGATGCATGCATCGATGCAAGCTTCAAGGGAAAGTACAGTGGCTTACGAAAGTATTCACCCCCCTTGGCATTTTTCCTATTTTGTTGCCTTACAACCTGGAATTAGAATGGATTTTTGGGGGGTTTGTATCATTTGATTTACACAACATGCCTACCACTTCGAAAATGCCAAATATTTTTTATTGTGAAACAAACAAGAAATAAGACAAAAAAAACTGAAAACTTGAGCGTGCATAACTATTCACCCCCCAAAGTCAATACTTTGTAGAGACACCTATTGCAGCAAATACTGCTGCAAGTCTCTTGGGGGTATGTCTCTATAAGCTTGGCACATCTAGCAACTGGGATTTTTGCTAATTCTTCAAGGCAAAACTGCTCCAGCTCCTTCAAGTTGGATGGGTTCCGCTGGTGTACAGCAATCTTTAAGTCATACAACAGATTCTCAATTAGATTGAGGTCTGGGCTTTGACTAGGCCATTCCAAGACATTTAAAAGTTTCCCCTTAAACCACTTGAGTGTTGCTTTAGCAGTATGCTTAGGGTCATTGTCCTGCTGGAAGGTGAACCTCCGTCCCAGTCTGAAATCTCTGGAAGACTGAAACAGGTTTCCCTCAAGAATTTCCCTGTATTTAGCACCATCCATCATTCCTTAAATTCTGACCAGTTTCCCAGTCCCTGCCAATGAAAAACATCCCCACAGCATGATGCTGACACCACCATGGGATGGTGTTCTCGGGGTGATGACAGGTGTTGGGATTTTCTAAGTTTCTGATATTTTTTTATAACCCAACCCTTATCTGTACTTCTCCACAACTTTGTCCCTGACCTATTTGGAGAGCTCCTTGGCCTTCATGGTGCCGCTTGCTTGGTGGTGCCCCTTGCTTAGTGGTGTTGCAGACTCTGGGGCCTTTAAGAACAGGTGGATATATACTGAGATCATGTGACACTTAGATTGCACACAGGTGGACTTTATTTAACTAATTATATGACTTCTGAAGGTAGTTGGTTGCACCATATCTTATTTAGGGGCTTCATAGCAAAGGGGGTGAATACATATGTACGCACCACTTTTCAGTTATTAATTTTTTATACTTTTTTGAAACAAGTAATTTTTTTCATTTCACTTCACCAATTTGGACTATTTTGTGTATGTCCATTACATGAAATCCAAATAAAAATCCATTTAAATTACAGATTGTAAAGCAACAAAATAGGAAAAACGCCAAGGGGGATGAATACTTTTGCAAGGCACTGTATACAAAGAAATAAGACGCAACCACGTAACAATTACGCACATTTTCTAGAAATTATTATTATTTGAGCTAACTTTGGAATGAAATGTTGCCTATTCACATCTCATATGTTACCTGACTACAATATTTTAACTTGAGATGTTAATACATACATGCTGTGTTGTAGGCATGTTTACCTGCCTACAATACCCACTGTAGTGTAGGTCGTAAGCCCATAGTAAGTCAATAGAGCTATCTGGCTAGCTACTACTGTTAGCTAGCCAGATAGCCACAAAGAACTGTTCATTCATTTGTGGGGTTGCTTCTCAGCCAAGGGAATGGGCTCACTCACAATTTTGCCTAAGAACACAGCCATGAGTAAAGAATGGTACCAACACATCCTCCGAGAGCAACTTCTCCCAACCATCCAAGAACAGTTTGGTGACGAACAATGCCTTTTCCAGCATGATGGGGCACCTTGCCATAAGGCAAAAGTGATAACTAAGTGGCTCGGGGAACAAAACATCCACATTTTGGGTCCATGGCCAGGAAACTCCCCAGACGTTAATCCCATTGAGAACTTGTGGTCAATCCTCAAGAGGCGGGTGGACAAACAAAAACCCACAAATTCTGACAAACTCCAAGCATTGATTATGCAAGAATGGGCTGCCATCAGTCAAGATGTGGCCCAGAAGTTAATTGACAGCATGCCAAGGCAGATTGCAGAGGTCTTGAAAAAAGAAGGGTCAACACTGCAAATATTGACTCTTTGCATAAACTGAATGTACCAGTGGGGGAAAAAAGTATTTAGTCAGCCACCAATTGTGCAAGTTCTCCCACTTAAAAAGATGAGAGAGGCCTGTAATGTTCATCATAGGTACACGTCAACTATGACAGACAAAATGAGAAAATAAAATCCAGAAAATCACATTGTAGGATTTCTTATGAATTTATTTGCAAATTATGTTGGAAAATAAGTATTTGGTCACCTACAAACAAGCAATATTTCTGGCTCTCACAGACCTGTAACTTCTTCTTTAAGAGGCTCATCTGTCCTCCACTAGTTACCTGTATTAATGGCACCTGTTTGAACTTGTTATCAGTATAATAGACACCTGTCCACAACCTCAAACAGTCACACTCCAAACTCCACTATGGCCAAGACCAAAGAGCTGTCAAAGGACACCAGAAACAAAATTGTAGACCTGCACCAGGCTGGGAAGACTGAATCTGCAATAGGTAAGCAGCTTGGTTTGATGAAATCAACTGTGGGAGCAATTATTAGGAAATGGAAGACATACAAGACCACTGATAATCTCCCTCGATCTGGGGCTCCACGCAAGATCTCACCCTGTGGGGTCAAAATGATCACAAGAATGGTGAGCAAAAATCCCAGAACCACACGGGGGGACCTAGTGAATGACCTGCAGAGAGCTGGGACCAAAGTAACAAAGCCTACCATCAGTAACACACTACGCCGCCAGGGACTCAAATCCTGCAGTGCAAGACGTGTCCCCCTGCTTAAGCCAGTACATGTCCAGACCCGTCTGAAGTTTGCTAGAGTGCATTTGGATGATCCAGAAGAGGATTGGGAGAATGTCATATGGTCAGATGAAACCAAAATATAACTTTTTGGTAAAAACTCAACTCGTCGTGTTTGGAGGACAAAGAATGCTGAGTTGCATCCAAAGAACACCATACCTACTGTGAAGCATGGGGGTGGAAACATCATGCTTTGGGGCTGTTTTTCTGCAAAGGGACCAGGACGACTGATCCGTGTAAAGGAAAGAATGAATGGGGCCATGTATCGTGAGATTTTGAGTGAAAACCTCCTTCCATCAGCAAGGGCATTGAAGATGAAACGTGGCTGGGTCTTTCAGCATGACAATGATCCCAAACACACCGCCCGGGCAACGAAGGAGTGGCTTCGTAAGAAGCATTTCAGGAGATTCTCACGAAAACTATGGTGTTCTCCATTTTGCTCTACGACCCCCACAAGTGTCACGGGACTTGTCTGAATGTAATCTGTACTGTTTTTTAAATACGGAAGTATAAAGGTAGATTGTGCCTACCCAAAAAAGGGGTTAAATATGTATAAAATAAAACTACAAATATTTCCTGAGATTTCTTATATCTCCTAGCTAGAGGACAAACACTTTTAAAACCGGCTTAGACTTTTAAGAATGAACCTGTGAAACATTTCTTAGACAACAAACTCTGGCTGTGGTAAGATAAACTCTTCTGATGAGAACTTTCATTGCAGCACTCAAATGTTGTTGATTCATAAGCTTTCTATAAATTAGCTTTTTTAGACTGTGTCACATGGTTCATTCCTGATCTAATAGCACCTGCTTCTGATGACCCTAGCTATGAACCCACACACAGTGTTGGACTTAAATCTATGGAGGAGAGAGAGAGAGAGAGAGAGAGAGAGAGAGAGAGAGAGAGAGAGCGAGAGAGAGAGAGAGAGAGAGAGAGAGAGAGAGAGAGAGAGAGAGAGAGAGAGAGATAGAGAGAAGATATAGAGAGGAGAGAGAGAGAGAGAGAGAGAGAGAGAGAGTAGAGAGAGATAGAATAGAGGACGCATCGACTGCGACACTCTCGTAGAGATAGGAGTCGCTCCAGAGAGATAGAGATCTTCGCTCTCTCTCTAGCCTCGAGAGAGAGAGAGAGGTTATGAAGATTATATGAAGTCCCCTTGTAGCTCAGTTGGTAGAGCATGGCGCTTGCAATGCCAGGGTTGTGGGTTCGTTTCCCACGGGGGGCCAGTATGAAAATGTATGAACTCACTAACTGTAAGTCGCTCTGGATAAGAGCATCTGCTAAATGGCTTATGGTTACCTTATTCTATTAGGTTACCTTATTCTAATAGGTTACTGTCACGGATTCTGCCGAGGCTGCTCCTCCTCCTTGCTCGGGCAGGCTTCGGCGTTCGTCGTCCCCGGAGTACTAGCTGCTGCCGATCGATGTTTGTCTAGTTTAGTCTGTATTGTTTACACCTGTTCCCCATTATGTTTGATTGTATGCCCTATATTTACCCCTGTCTCTCATTTTGGATTTTGTGTGTGATTGTTTCTTTGTGACGTGTGTCGTTTGGTGAGCGGGTTAGTTCCTCCCTGTGTGGAGGTATTCTGTTTCCTGTCCTTGCATTCTGAGTAAAGTACGTTTCCATGAGTTCTGTGTCCTGCGCCTGACTTCTTCCACCGCATTTCACTGACATTCG